TGTCCCGATCATGTGATGGTGGCGCGGTCATGTTGTGATGGTGTCCCAATCATGTTTTGATTGTGTCCCAGTCATGTTGTGATGGTGTCCCGGTCCTGTTTTGATGGTGTCCCGGTCATGTTTTGATGGTGTCCCGGCCATGTTGTGATGGTGTCCCGGTCATGTTTTGATGGTGTCCGGGTCGTGTTGTGACGGTGTCCCGGTCATGTTTTGATGGTGTCCCGGTCCTGTTGTGATGGTGTCCTGGTCATGTTTTGGCGGTGTGCCGGTTATGTTTTGATGGTGTCCGGGTCATGTGACGGTGTCCCGGTCATATTGTGGTGGTGTCCTGGTCATCTTGTGATGGTTTTCCCGTCATGTCATGTTGGTGTCCCGGTCACCTTGTGATTGTGTCCCGGTCATGTTGTGATTGTGTCCCAGTCATGTTGTGAGGGTGTCCCAGTCATGTTGTGATGGTGTCTCGCTCATGTTGTGACGGTGTCCCGGTCATGTTTTGATGGTGTCCCGGTCATGTTGTGATGGTGTCCTGGTCATGTTTTGGCGGTGGTGTCCGGGTCATGTGACGGTGTCCCGGTCATGTTGTGATAGTGTCCCGGTCATGTTGTGATGGTGTCCCCGTCATGTCATGCTGGTGTCCCGGTCACCTTGTGATGGTGTCCCGGTTATGTTGTGATGGTGTCCCAATCATGTTGTGACGGTGTCTCGGTCATGTTTTGATGGTGCCCTGGTCATTTTGTGATGGTGTCCCGGTTATGTGATGATGCTGTCCAAGGAAGAGATGGTCGATGTGTTGAAAACAGCAGCTGTTTCCAGATTTTTCTTTTTGTCCCGGTTTGTATCTTGCTATTGGGGTCTCCAGCTGGGTTACTTTTTGGAAAGTTGTTGCTTTGTTTCTACTAGCGATGGCCTCCACCCTACTGGCAAACTGACCTTTCTTCGAATCTTTTTCCTCTCGCCCAGGAAGCTGCTGGGCCCCGGGCGGACCTTGCGCGAGGGCATCCTGGACCTGCGAACCGCCAGCGAGCGGCCGCGGAACTCCACCACCAGCGGCCCGGTCGACGCGTGTGTGCGCAGCGCGCGGCCGTGGACGTTCAACGGGTCGTTGGATGCCGAAAGGGTCGTTGGAGCCCGAGGCATCGCGATACTCATCTGATCTCACCCCAAACAACACCCCGGACCGCACTTTCTTTGTAGCACAGGAACACAATATCTACCGAAGATGGAGAATATGTGATAAGAGACATCATCACGATATTTCCTGCATACCACTTCACCTGAGGTTCAGCTTCCTCTGCATCACAAGGCAGGGATGGCCAGACGAGTATTGGATCGTCTTTGGGTCCACGAAACCGGTGTCAAATACAGTGCCTCTCTCAAGCCCGGTGCTGCCTCTCTATCCAAGTGGCGTTCGCCCGGTGCATCACGACCTCGCCCCCGGTGCGCGCCCCGTTCGCCCTGGCGCACGAGGATCTGGTCGAAGACACCGGATTTCTGTCGAAATGGGTAGCTCCAAACTCGAAGACTTCCCTGGTCCTCGATTTCTGGATTTTTTGGGTTCAACTTGGGTGGATTTTGCTGAGAGATGACACTTCGGCCCGGCGGAATCATCCCTCCACTGCCCCACTCATTCGGTTCAGCTCGCTCAGGCCAAGGGCAGGCAGGGCCGCCGTGCGATGCGCACGTTTTGGACATGGCCAAAGGCCTCCCAAAGTCTGTCCTTTCGGCCGGGGCAGAGACTCTTTTTTTAAAACTCTTTGAATAGTCCTATTTGTAGTTTCTAAATGGCAATAGGCAATACCACCAGCTTGCCCCCTGAGCTGCTGTGATCTGTATGGTGCGCATGTTTCACACCGAGCACTCTCACGGCTTCACGTCGCGTAGAGCGCACACGCGTCCCACGGCGTAGGGCTCGTCCCGTCCAGAAAGTGCTGGCAACTTGGCGAAGAGCGGCCTTTTGGTGTCTGAAAGCAGCGACTGGGAAGGGTTGGGACACTTGCTTCAAGATGCTTCAAGCCACTCAAAAAAAAGAACATACTCATTAGTAACAAGGGCATCACTATGAGTAACAAGTCCTCCGGCCTTGACTGCTTCCTTTGTCTCATGGTGACTTCGGCAAACATGTTTTCGCTTCAACTCTTCCCCGCCCACTGCTTCGACTCCTCACCGCCAAATTCTTATTGTTACCAGTAGTAAGGCACTTGTTTCTAATAGCTTTTTGTTACTACTAGTAAGGCACTTGTTACTACTAGCGTGGCACTTGTTACTA